CCCCCCCCCCCCCCGAGTGGGGAGATGGCTGCGATCGCAGTCGCGTTCGTGCAGGGAAGACGTGAGTGATCGTGGCTGTGCTGCACCCGTCTTTCCTGCAGGAGCACGCCCGTGATCATGCACGTCTTCCCTGCACGAACACAACCGAGATCATGGCCATCTTCTCACTCAGAAAGGGTGGGGAGACGGCCACGATCGTCCTGGTTGTGGGGGGGGGGGAGATGGCTATGATTGCGCCCATTTTTCCTGTAGGAGCGCGCCTGTGCCAGGATTTCTTTGAGAAGCACCACCTCAATATAACCGTAACGAACAGAGTGCTGAATCTGATGAAAGATAATGTGGTCTTTCCTTTCCAAAGGGTTATGCAGTGCAGGAAAAAACAAGTGACTATAGACAGATTCTTCACCAAAATTGACCCTGCAGCTAAGAGACAAAGAAGAGAGGAAACCCCTGAAAGAGATCTCCCCAATGTCCTTATGGAGGGGAACTCTCCCTCAAAACAATAATCTCCCCCACACCTAGGTTAGTGTTCTCCACTGTACTGTACAGTACTTTGTTACTTTATTGTTCTTTGTCACTTTGCTTCAAATTTTTCTGATTTAAAAAACAGTTACAGAACGGATTAACCTTATTTACACTGAATCTTATGGGGAAATTTGACTTGGGTCACAACCAATTTGGGTCACATCCGGAGTTGTGGAATGGATTAAGTTCGTGAGCCAAGGTACCACTGTATAAGCTTTTATTTAAGGGCACTAGCAGATGCATATTTAAAGATCACTAACCTGCTTCATATAATCCCTGCAGCTGAAACACAAGCCACTATGGCTTGTGACAGCAGCAGTGTACATGCAGCTGGATATCCCCAATTACCCACACTGATGTGGTTTGCCATGTCACCAAGCCTGGGTAGCATACCTAATTTTGGGAAGGCAGAGACCTTCCAATAACCCAGAAACCACATGGGTTATGTGAGAATTTCTGTCCACCCAAAAAGCTATGCTGCTTGGATTCAGATGTTTGTGATGGGACAGTATAGAAAAGTTTTAAATAAATAAATACCTATATGTGTAATTGCGGAAATCTGTTTGGCATGCATGATGGCTTATTTCATTCACCATGATCATGCATACTAGGCCACTGTGTATATATATTGCTAATCAAAACAATAATCACAAGCACATTAAGACAGATCATGTGTGCATCACCCATAACTGTGCACATGTAGAATAAATTAACTTTTTCTATTTGTAAATTGTATTAGGCTGGTTCACATGATCAAAGCAAGCCATGATATGCGACACATGCTAAGTAGGACTTGTATGAATACCACTTGGCCACAGTTTAACATGTTACCTGAGCCCAGTCAGCATGGATTGTTGGAGAATTAACTCTTGAATAACCTTTGGGTTGTTGCAGAAGTTAAGTTAAACTAAGGCAAGGCTTGTTTGTTTTGATCATGTGAACTGGGGCATTGTGTTGCTTTCAGTCATGCAGGAAAATGTTTAAAAAAACATTTTGCACATCTATCCCACTAATAAACACCATTTTGGTTACCTATTTTGCACCTAATACAGCCAAACATAACAGAATTTGTAACATTCATCATGATCAATACTAACTCCTTTCTCAAAGGTGGGCTAAGTATTACATATCACTAATTGGAAAAGAAATTGAGCTAGCAGGCAACCTGAGAACTCACCTCAGGAGCACCGGCAAGTCCAGCTACAGCCCCCATCTCTTATCTTACCCACTAAAATGCTTTACAGCTGCCCCTGTATGCCACAGCTGCCATTCCAAGACCTGATCACAATTAGCCTTAGGTGCAGCAAAGCAAACTCTTAACAACAAATTTTGAGAGGATCTTTCTTTCTCACTCCCAAATGAAGTGGGTGGGGGCCTTGAAAGATGTGGGCTTGGGTAGGGAGCAACAGCTCAGGGATAGCAGACAGGTTCTGCTTATGTAAATTCACAAGTTTAATCCCCGGTATCTCCAGTTAAAAAGGTGGCGCTCAAGGCCTTCGAAAGTAGCAGTTAGTCAAAGTAGACAACCAGAATTAGATGTTCCAATGATCCAATTCAATACAAGTCCTATTCACAGAAGCAATTGAGAGAGCACCTTCTCCTCTCCATACTCTCAGGATTCACTGCGTCATAAGGAGAAGCCACAGACCAACAAGCGAACCGGAACTGCAGAAGAATGGCCGCTATTCGAGTAAATCTCGAGTAACGGCGATACAGCGTACACTGACTCTGGGGCCCTGCAAAACAGTTCAAACCCCAGAATAAGTGAATGTTGCTGCCAGGAGCCTTTACTTGACCACTAGAGGCCTCACCAAGAAAAATAAAGGGCGATACAATAGAATAAAAGGGGAGGGAACGTATTTCTGGCCGAGCTGGCGAAAACTGCCTTTCCTCCAAGCAATCCAGATTTTTCATTTGATCTTGTTAACCCCCCATGATCTTTTGAGAAAGAGGCAGGGATACAAGAATGGCATTACAGTAACGAAGCCCAGCGGCGAGAGCGGAGCGCTCTTTTTGTCCTAGCAGGCGCCTGAGCGAGATATTCTGCCTCCCTCAAGGAAAAGGACCTCTGCGCCGCAGCGCAAACGGAACCGGCCAGCGGCGCCTCCCAACCCCATACGATGTTGAAGGCAACCAACGGCCCAGCGCGCTTCCCCATACCCGACTCCCTCTCTCAACCGCTCCTCGCCGGACACTCACGTAGCGCTGGTAGAACTTGGAAAGCCGCGGCTTGCCGTGGTTGTTGAAAATGAGGATGGCTTTAATCATGATGAGGGAGGTCTACCGGCGAGGTGCCCGGAACAGGCGAAGGGGTCTACCCCTCCCCACACTCTCGAGGCCGGCGGCTCCGAAGAAACCTACCCCACTCCCCTTTGCAAAGCACCAACGCGCGACAGGAGACGAAGCCACGCCTCTCTCACGTGACGAGGAGAAAATCTCCTCCCCACGAATCACCTGACTAACCGCCGAGACGGTAGCTCACAAAGGACAAAAGGCATTCAGTTGCTGCCATGGTCACGTGCTGCTGACACAAGTTTATAAAAGGGATCTCCTGCGCGGCCGCAGAATTCCGCTTTGGGGCTATTATGTCGGAAGAAGGGGAAGAACAGCCTGCTGTAGCTGCTCCTCTTTCGCCTCAGGAGGGTGATCGAGGTGAAGGTGGCGAAGACATCCCGGAAAGTGGAGGAGCTGGAGCCGCGCTGGAGGTGTTCGAGCCGGCTCCCCGCTCAGCTGTTTCCCCGGTGACCGAGGAACCTGCTGGAGACACGAGGAAGAAAAGTAAAGTGGCGAGTGGACGCGAGGCGCTGTGATGATGGGAGGGCGGAGGAAACTGCAGCAGCTCCCATGGATAGCGTAGCGCGGCCTGAGCCTTTTCTGTCAAGGGTCCCAGCCGACCCAGCTCACTCTCCTCGTATGCTACTTGCGCGTCAGTGGGGCTCTGTAGCGCTGATCGTTTCCTCCTCTTCGGATCACCATGAGGCTTGTTACTTATTTTGTCGTACTGTAGGGTACGATAATTAAGGAGCAAGTTCTTGCTTTTTTATGGATACAGATTTCTTCTCTGCCCCAAGGACTCAATATACCAACAGCACCTTGTACCTTTTTTTCCCAACCTTTCTCAGCCACCTTTCTTGGAAATCCATTAAGACAGTTTACAAATGATTCACCAAAGATACAGTAAAACCTTAAAAACCATAGCAATTTGAAAAGCAAAATTTAAAAAGTTTGTCCTGATCAGCACCACCCTCCCCAAATGCAAAGAGAGTGGAGATCAGTATCACCTGCATGCAGGCAGGTGTTCCTGAGTCTGGGACAGGAAAACAAGGAAACTCTTTTCATATTCTGAGAAGTGGATTTCTGTAAGCAAGGGTAACTTCAAAAGTGTTTCTCCTACTGATCATAACAACCTGCCTGAGCCTAAGCAGTATTGGGGTACTTACCAACCTCCAAAACTTTGACAGTTTGTCTGCAGGCCTTCTGGTCTGTCAATGCTATTGATAAATGCCAGATCAGCCTACAGGAAAAGATACGATATATCTGACCTATATGCTGATTCTGTGTCACTGAAACCTAGTTGGACAAATAGGGAGGAATTACCTTTAGATAGATCTACCAGAATTTGTTATACAGCAGCAAGCTCAGCTAATGGTATAAGGAGAGGGTTGCCTTGGTCCATAGCAGCCTTCTCCTGTGTGGGATCTGTTGAATGCTTTGTACTATAACTCCAACCAGCCAGCATAATGATGATGAGATTTGTAGTCCAAACCATCTAGCAGATGTCAGGTTGTTGAAACCTAGGATATACAGACTCCTCATCTTCCTTATTCAAGAGTCAGCTAGCTTGGAGTACCTCTACCTTTGCTCTGAGAACCTGGGACAAGAGAATTCTATTAACTGCTCACCTTTTTGCCATATTGTTTCCTTACGCAAGTTGACAGAGGTGCCATCATGTGTGGTACCAAGAACCCCAAAACTGGTGGTCCTGGGACACTTCAGTATTTCCATTGAGGCTACCATGGCCAGAATGGCTCAGAATTTCATGGCTACCATCAGATAATATATGCTCATGTGGTACAATATCCTTTTAATGCAGTGTCCTATACTGGGAAAAAGTAGGGGGCCATTAATGATTCTATTAATACGGACTGATGATTACCTGATCAGGTTTGACCTTCAGACTAACTATACCCTCCTAAGGAGTCAGGGACTGAGCTTGGTGGTCTGTCCTGGAGATTGATGAATCTGAATGAACATGCAAGATCTTTGGGGGACTTTTCTTTAAACTGGCAGTCCTGATATTTTGACCTCCAAACAAGGTGACGACCTGAGACATCAATATGATTGCTTCCAAATATTCTCAGCACAGTTGTAGAGTCATAACATCTCCCTGGTGCTCTCATTATTCTCCCCAGAGCTGGGATTGAGAATTACATTGCAAATTGCAGAAGATTCTTATTGAATACAATTGAACACAGGCAAGAATCCATCATTCAGCTTAGTCTGTGGGGATGACAGCAGTGAAAAATACTATCTCTTCACCACCATTTCATCTGCTCAGTGTTATCCAGTGAAGCTTCTTTGGCAGTTACAGACCTCTGGAGTGTAGGCTCTGGAATGCAATTGGACCCTCAAAATCCTGATCTTACAAAGTCGCTTGCTTTTTGAGGTTTAAGTTAGTTGTATCCTTGCTGACTTGGATCATTTTTATTTGTTTTATTTATTTATTTAAAATACTTATATGCTGTCCTGTCGCAAAAGCCTCAGGACAGCTTACATAAATGAAATGACATAAAATATAACATGAATAAATTACCGACCCACACTGGCTACAGTTAAAAACATATAGGAGACAATATTAAAACTTATTAAAATATTGCTGAAATAAAGAGGTCTTAACCTGGCACCAAAAAACAACGACAGTGCCAGGCTGACCTCTCTGGGGAGCGCATTCCATAGGCGGGGCGCCACCGCAGAGAAAGCCCTGCTCCGGGTACTTTGCCTTCTAATATCTTTCATGGAGGGTTCCTGGAGGAGGGCCTCTGCTGCCGATCTCGGGGCGGGAGGGCAAATATGGAAGAAGGCGTTCCTTTAGGTATCCAGGTCCCAAGCCATTAAGGGCTTTATAGGTAATAACCAGCACCTTGAATTGAGCCCGGACTTCGATGGGAAGCCAGTGAAGCTGCTAGAGGACTGGGGTTATATAAGAATAATGCCCAGTCCCCATCAGCAACCTGGCTGCTTTATTTTGCACCATCTGAAGTATCCAGACTGTCTTCAAGGGCAGCCCCACATAGAGCGCGTTGCAGAAATCCAACCAGGAAGTAACCAATGCATGTGTCACTGTTGCTAGGCAATCTTCCTCCAGGTAGGGACGCAGCTGATGGATTAGCCAAAGCTAAAGGAAAGCATTCCTCGCCGCTGCAGTCACTTGAGCTTCCAAGGACAGCTCCGGGTCGAGGAGCACTCCCAAGCTGCGGACCCTGTCCTTTAGAGGGAGTGCAACCCCATCCAGAGCAAGGTCCAAGTCACCTACCCAGGAGCTCGAACCACCCACCAACAGGACCTCCATCTTGTCTGGATTAAGTTTCATTTTATTGGCCCTCATCCAGTCCATTACCTCAGCCAGGCACCAGTTCAGTACAGCCACTGCCTCACCTGGGTTAGTTGAAAAAGAGAGGTAGAGCTGGGTGTCATCAGCATACTGATGACTCCGCAGCCCAAACCTGATTACCTCTCCCAGCGGTTTCATGTAGATATTAAATAGCAAGGGGGACAAAATGGAATCCTGCAGTACTCCATGGCATAATTGCCTTGGTGCAGAGCCAAAGTCCCCCAGCACCACCTTCTGGAATTGGCTGTCGAGGTAGAAGCGGAACCACTGCCAAGCAGTGCCTTCTACTCCCAATCCTGCCAGGCTATCCAGAAGGATACCATGGTTGATGGAATCAAAAGCCACTGAGAGGTCCAGGAGGACCAACAGGGACGCACTCCCCCTGTCTCTCTCCCTGCACAGGTCATCATACAGGGATACAGGGTGACCAAGGCAGATTCAGTACCATACCTGGGTCTGAAGCCGGACTGAAATGGGCCCAGATGGTCAGTTCATCCAAGAGTGCTTGGAGTTGTCCCGCCACCACCCGTTCCAACACCTTGCCCAAAATTTGATAGATATGGATAGTGTTGTGAGCAAGCATGATGCTGGACTTTGGTAAGTGTTCCCATGGGATGCTAGTCTTGTCATTTTTGCTGATTCAGATTCAGAACAAGAAACTTAATATTTCATTGGGTTTGACCAGCAGGAGGTTGCTCAGGGTCTTGGGAGCCAACAGCAGGGTATGGAAGTGGATGAGATTGGAGCTAGAAAGGACATGGAGAAGGTGCTGCCAGACTATGGGAACAGGAGGCAGGCATAACCAGCAGGAGGTGCAGGAGTGGAGAGTCCTCACATGGGGACTGCACAGTCCCTCCTAAGCTGGGTTCCACGGCTAAGTGGCAGCAGAAGCAAGAAGCACAATCAAATGTGAAGCATGTAGATTGGAGATGTGCACAGCACTTCTCCCCAAGGGTTGGAGCACAAGTGTGCTCATAAGGGGAGTTCTGGGGAGTGATCACTAGGCTGGGGTCAACTAACTGCTTTGCGTATGCTCGAAGACATAGCTGGATGATTTACATGTAGAAGCAATAAAGAAAGTTTGTTCAAGAAGCTTGCGGCTGGTGACTGCTGGGAGGGAGGAAGGCTGGCTCATGACAGATAGTATTCCTGCACTTTATAGCCATGTTGTGGATGCCTTTCAGCTAGTACAATCAAAAGAAACTAGCAAACTGCCTAAAGGGTTGAAACAAGTCAGACATCAGCTGGGTATCTGGACTTCACACACGGTTAATACCACCTTGAGGAGTGATGAAGCTTCCACAGCTTTGAATGTTTGTCAGACCCCTACTTTCAGGAAAGCTATGAAGTCCCATGACTAGCCTTTTTGTTGTTCTGGACTGCTGGTGTTATTCATAACTTCTCGTTCTGTTTAAGTTTTTTAGATGTGTTTGTTGATCTTTCCTTATATGCTTTGTATTGTTTTTTATCTTCTGTGCTGCCATAAGCAGGCTATGCTTTTTAAAAGTGTCTTTAAAATATTTTGAAATAAAAGAAACAATGATATATCACTCATGGAAGAAACCAGGTTTAGATTCTGTGGTTTCATATACCTACCACCCATTTTGCTATTCAAGGTTGGACCATGAGTTGGCCTCTCAACTCCAGACCATGTTGGATTTTACTGAATATTTGGATTGATTCCAATCTGGTTTCAGACTGGTTATTGCACAAAAGAACCCTAGATTGAATTGATGGGTGACTTATGCCAGGGAATGGAGAGGAAGAGTGCAGCTGTGTTGGAACTTCTAGATATTTTTGTGACTTTCAGTAGCATCAGCCATAGTATCCTTCTGGATCATTTATCTGGCTTAGAAGTAGAAGGCACAGTAGAAGGTGATTCCTGAATGAACAGTCTCACAAGGTGATGCTGGGAGACTTAATGTTCCACACTGTAGCCTTTGAACTGTTTCTATGTCTCCCATGCTCTGTAAAATCTACCTTAAATTACTGGGGGAAGTCATGCAGAGGTTTGCACTGAAATGACAGCAGTACACAGCTCTACTTTGTTTCCATTCATTTATCCTAAGGATGTTGTAGAATTTTTGAACCATTGTCTGGAGATGGTTTTGGGGTAGAAGAGAGCAAACAAGCTGAACTGGAAAAATGGAAGTACTACTGGTAAGGAAATTGACCACTCTGGATGGGAAGTGTACAAGTGATCTTGGATAGGTTTACTCTTCCTGGAAGGATGAAGTGCACACTTTGAATGTTCTGCTGGACTCAGCACTAATGGGGGGAAACTCAGGTGGCAGTACCCAGTTCAGGTTGATACACTAACCCTATTTGGAGAGATCTCGGTAATCCATATGAAAGTGATATCCAGGTTAAACTACTGTAATGTGTCCTGTAGCGGAGCTGCCTTTAAAGATGGTTCAGAAACTCCAGTTGATGCAGAATGCAGTTATCAACTTTCTAGAGGGGCTTACGGTCATAGTATAGCTATACTGTGCAAGTTACTAACATGTTTCCAAGTCCAGTTTAAAGGAGTTGTTTTAATTTTGAAAGCTTTAAATGTTAGATCTCAATTACATGAAGATTTGCCTTTGCCCACACTTTTAAGTTTAGCAGTGGACACCCTTTGCATTTTCCCACTTCTGAGAGTAGTTCCATTAGTGGGTACAAGAAAAAGAACTTTTTTCCTGAATAGATGCTAACTAACCCTCTGAGACTCCCTCAATTGTCATTTGTTGAAGCTTTAGAAAAGCCTTGTGACCCGTCTGTTTCATTCTACTGTTAAATAGATGGTTTCCAGCTGCAATAATCTAATGGATTTTTAATATTTTCTGGGCTATATGTTTGATTTATGATTATTACTTTATCAGCCTTTTCATGTTTATAATTTAATTATATTTTATTGTATAAGCTGCCTTGAAAGCTCCCAGATTTTACAAATTGTAAAATGCCTACAATAATGAAAATAGACATTGCTCTTTTCCCCTAATCTCTTGTAGTTTTTCAGACTAGAGTTGTTTTCTTCTGTCTTATTTCCTTTTCTTCTGCTCAACTCCATTCAGTAGTTCGTTAGTTACATTTCAATAGACTTTAATTGTTTGTTCTGTTCTGCTTCCATTTATTTTTATGTACAATATGTTCTACTTTCTAGTTGATGTTTTGCTCAAGGCTGTTGGTGATACTCCTATAATGAAGACAAAGAAGTGGACAGTAGAGAGAACCCGCACAATCCAAGGCCTCATTGACTTTATCAAAAAGTTTCTCAAGCTAGTAGCCTCTGAACAGCTGGTAAGTGATGTGTTTACCATTCCTATATGGGAATCTGAGTGGGAACCATGAAAGGGGAGCCCTGCAGAAACAGAGCTGAGGCACATCTTGTCTGCTATCCTGTTTCTGATAGTTGCCAACCAGATGCTGCCAGGAAGTTCACATGCAAGGCATGAAGGCACCGGACCTTATCTCTTGTTTGTCCCTGCTTGTCTACAAAAAGCAGTTGCCTGTTGATAATAATGTCACTGGTTCCCATTCCACTTGGGAGTGCATTGCTGTTTTGCACAGGCAAGCTTTTCCTGTGTTATTGAGTAGAATAGCTTTAACTCTGCTAGTTTTGCTTAATTTATAGCATTACTGAATCTAGACTGAGCTCATCTGTGTAATGGAGCTGCTGAGGCAACTCCAAGTAGAAGCGTTCAGCTGAGATTCAGTTGTAGAGCTATGTGTGTTCTGTCATGAAAGTGACAGCAAAAATAATGGGACAGAAGATGGGTGCCTGAGTGTCCATATGTTGTGGGCAGTTGTCAGTTCACAAATGGTACCCCACTCATTCTGAAATGAATATTGTGTTGAAACTATTTTTAAAAGTGAATTGGTGTTCACTTAGTAATAAAGTCCCAGAAAGATCAGCATGCTCTTAATTCTGTTTATAACATTCAATCAAGAAGTATAATCTAACCCAGAAGTAAGGATGTTTCAAGACGGGGCAATACCAATCCTGCTGCTACTCCTGTTATTCTAGTGATATCACACAAACATAAGTGACCTGTAGCTCAGTGCCAGGAGTATATTTTGAACTGATGGGTTTTCCTGGAAAACCAGTCATAAGAAGAGCCACGCTGGAGCAGACCAAGGGTCCATCTAGCCCAGCATTCTGTTAACACAGTGGCCAACCAGCTGCCCACAGGGTCCCACATGCAGCTGGTTTTATTTATTTAAATATGAGTGTAGTATCACCCTCCTGGCCAAGTTCCCCAGCAACTGGTATACATAGTTATCCTGCCTCTGATACTGTCACTACAAATACGCCCTTGGTGTTGCGTTAGAGATCACTTACTGTGCTGCTTTTTTCAGTAATCTAAGTGGAGCAAAAACATTGGATTTTGCTCAAGGCTTTTATTGGGCAATCACCATACCTTATTCACAAAATTATATACTGTCCAGACAATGTCAGATGCTTCGAGGAGGAGAGCTTCTAGCATTACCTAGCACTTTCTTTCCCTCCTTAGCATTTCTTTCTTTGTTGCTGTTACTGTAAGAAAAAAGATGAAAGAAGCAATAGGAAAATGGATTACTTATGGAAAATGACATTGTCTTAAGCCCATATAAAATTCTGTAAAGGAGGTGAGGTAGTTGCCCAGTAAAACCCTTATCTAGAAATACCCATCATCTTCCATTTCTAGTTCTGTCCATCTGGAAACTTAGATTTAAATCCAATCTGTTGTTGCTAGTTGCGAAGTCGTGTCCGACCCTTCGCAACCCCAATCTAGCTTTCCCCAAAAACATTTATAAATAGCAGCGCAGCAATTGCCCACAAAGATCTGAGAATATGATGTAGTTATTGTGGGTGGGAAAGATGCAAACCTGCTAATGTTATCCTGAGGCTATCTTGCCCTTCCTTTAGTTCAGCAGCAGCAGCTTCAACAGCACTTGCTATGCGGAAGGTATGCAGGTCGCCTCTTCAGCCATGTAGTCACAGTTCAGTGGCATTCAGAGGCCTTATGGAAAGAGCTTTATTTATTTTTTATACACAATCAAATTATAAAATCTCAAGATGGTTTACATAAAAAGGACAGAAATGTAATAATGGTTTTAATATATATTTATAACAATAAACTAGTTTTAAAATCCAAAGTGCCAGTACTGGCTGCAACTAATTAAAATGCATTATTAATTTAAAAAAACTGGGAGAATAAAAAGGTTTTGGCCTGGTGCTGGAATGAATAAAGCATCAGCACCATGTGCACCTCTCTGGGAGCTAGTTCCATACTCAGGGCATTATTACAGGGAAGGCCCTCCTCCTCCTCCTCCTCCTCCTCCTCACCTCTTTCAGAGGAGAACCTCCACGGTGATCTTAGGCTACAGACTGGCTCGTTATGGAGGAGCCATTCCCTTAGATAACCAGGCCCTTTAGGGCTTTATATGTTGTTGTTAGTACCTTAAATCAGGCCCAGTCGTCAACTGGTTGCCAGTGTAGCTTATATAGGACTGGTGTGATGTGTCCATGTCTACTGGTCCCTGTCAGCTGTCTGGCAGCTCCATTTTGAACCAATTGCAATGTCCGGATCGCAGCCCCACACAGAACTTTCAGAAGTAAAGGTTCTGCTTAGCATTTTGAAGCTACACAATGTAGCAAAGATAAGAGGATAGAATTTTCTGATTCAACTAGCTTGCCTTTAATGCCTACTAAACAAACTTTTCAATGTGTCTCTCTTTTCTCATGCAGTTTATTTATGTGAATCAGTCCTTTGCTCCTTCACCAGACCAGGAGGTTGGGACACTATATGAGGTGACCACCAGCTTTTAAGTGGTTTTCTTTCTCTCTGCTAATGTTAGAAACTAAGAGGCTAGTTTGGTTACCATGTTACTACAACTTTAATGTACAAAACTTTCTGACAACATATTGTCAACAGATGGCAGTATTTCACAAGTAAAATCAGAATGCTAATTATATTTTCACCTGTATAATAGGGGACATAAGGAAATGCTGTGATCATCTATCTATCTGTAATTGAATTTATAATCTACATTAACCAATAGTCCAGGAGGACTATTTCTGATTTATTTATAAAGGATTGAATTGAACAACAACATTGCTAGTTTAACTTGTTCCTTTCCTCCTCTCGTTTCCTTACAGTGTTTTGGAAGTGATGGCAAACTGGTACTGCATTATTGCAAATCTCAAGCCTGGGGATGAATTAGGAGCTGCCATTGCTTAAGACTGTTAAAAAATTAGTGGGCTATAATAAACTTCAGCAACATTCCCCATGGAGAAGCGGAAGAAATGTGCATTCTTGCCCGTGGAATTAATTTCATTCTTATATTTTCTCTCCATGAATACAAAAATACACAGGGTTTTTAACCTTAGTTCATTGGGTGGGTTGCTTGTGGAAATAATTGTGCATGTGCCATGTGTACAGCCAGGCTAGCCTTTCATTGGTCCAGTACTTTAAAAAGCTTGTTTCTAGGGGAAGGATACCATCTCCTAACCTGGAGAGTACATAGATCATCATTTTGCCAGGCTGTGCAGAAGTTAGAGCTTCACTCTTAGGAGGATGCCTACTGTACATAAGCTACTGAAGTATCTGCATGTAAGATAAATTGTTACATTTTCTATTCACTCTTGCCTGTGATTCCTTATTTTAAACACAATGGTTGGGATTCAGCTTTGCATTCTGCGGATCCAAACGGACTTTGGGGTGGCGTTTCTCAGTCAGCAAGCCTCATACTCTTTTCCACCCTCATTGCAAAATAAAATTAATTGTGGAATATAAAATTGATAGTATCAAGATGCTTTGAAAATAAGGATTTTCACTTCACAGATTCTGCATTCACCCTTGTTCCTGGAATCAGCTTATTTAAAATATTTATTGGCAGGCTTTCAGGGCAAGAGCCCTCCCAAAATGGAATGCAACAGTAGAGCTTGTGCAATAAAAACTGCAATAAAAATGCAGTTTAAAAAGTAGTGCAATGATTTTAAAAAAATTAAAAATGGGCAAATAGTCTTTAAAAAGCACTAGCATATAACAAAATTTGCAACACCCAACTGTAGCTGCAGCTCAGGTTAATAAAACACAGTTGGGGGAAGATCAGAGTAAAGTAGTGCATGTTCAGGGCCTTCTTATTTCAGGGATCTATAGGACCCCTGATGGTGATTCATTCCAGCAGTATGGGGCCATTGCAGAAAAGGCCCTTTCTTGTGTACTTGCCCATGTAACAGCCCTCATAGGAGGTCATATGAGAGAGTTGTTTCCTGTTGATCTTAATCTGCAGCAGGCTGATATGGCTGAAGGTGGTTTAGCTTTCATCTAGTCTCTGCTCAGCCATGGAGGTGACTGGGTGACTTCGGGCCAGTCACAGACTCTCAGCCCAACCTACCTTACAGGGCTGTCATTCTGAGAATTAGATTGAGAGCACGAAGAGGAAAATGATGTAAGCTGCTTTGTGCTCATCATAAGAAAAAAGGATAATAAATGTGCGGCTACAATCATGGAAACCCAACTATGAATAGGGGTTAAATCAATTTACCTTTCATATTTAATTTGTTAATATCACCTATATTTCCATAGAAAATCACTAGATGATTTACAACAATAAAAATATCAAAACAATTAACAGTATTTTATTAACATAGAATTAAAGTATATTAAAATGAACAATTAAAATACTAGTTAAATACAAAGGCCTTGGTCTGGCACCAATGAAAGATTGAAGTCAGTGCCAGACAAGCATCTCTCAGGAGCATATTTCATAATCAAGGCACCACAACTGAGAAGGCCTTTCTCCTTGTAGCAGCCCTCATTTCCTTCAAGAAGGGCTTTTGGAGAACAACCCCATAGAAGATCTTAAGGACCAAGCAGGTGCATATGGGGGGAGGCATTCTTTGGATAACAAGACACTAAACTGTTTAGGGCTGTATATGTTATTGTCAACACCTTAAATTGGACCTGGGCTTCAATCAGTAGCCAGTGCAGGTGATACAGGACCAGTGTTACATAGTCATGTCTGCTAGTCTCTGCCAGTAGTCTGGCTGCTCTGTTTTGTACCAGTTGAAGTACCCAGTTCATGTTTAAGCTGGGTGTTACAATAGTCCAAATGGGAAGTTACTAGTGTGTGGGTCACTGTTGAAAGACTCTGTTTATCCAGGTAAAGACTCAGCTGACAGACCAGCTGGTGGAAAGCACTCCTTGCCACAGAAGCCACCTGGAATTCCAGGGAAAGCTCTGGATTGAGGCATACTCCCAAGTTACGCCCCTTAGGAGGAATGCAACCTTGTCCAGATCAGCAAATCTCTCTCTCCAGAACCAACAATTCCCCCAAACAGTAACACCTCCATCTAATCTGGATTAAGCCTCAATGAATTGGCCCTCATCCAGCCTATCACATATTCCAGACACTGGTTCAGAACCGTCACAGCCTCACCTGGATTAGATGAGAACGAGAAGTGATTTTCATGCTTTCATCTAGATGCTAGCCACCTAGAATGACATTTTCATTTCATTTCTTGGTGAACCAGATATTTATTTATATTTCCATTTACATGCTACTAAATAAGTCCCTAGGCAGCTTATAAAATACGTTACTATCTGGACAGGGCTAATGTTGTATTTACTCTGGCAATCTTCAGGTTAGATTACTACTAGGCATTCTGTCTGAGGCAGAAGATGGTTCAGAAGCTGCAGTATGTGAGAATGTGGTGGCCAGGTTGCTAAGTGACAAGAAGGTCTAAACATATAATACCAATTCAGGCCCACTTGCACTGGTTTCTTGTATGCTTCACAGCCTGATCAAGGTGCTGGTTTTGACCTGTAAAGCCTTCCTTAGTCCAGGCCTGCCATACCTGATGGAGCACTTCCCCTGGCATGAACCTATATATATATGTAATACTCACCCATGGCCTTCTTCCAGGTGCCTTCTCTGAGGGAAACATGGAAGGTGGCAACCAGGGAGAGGACCTTCTCAGTAGTGGTCCCCCCAATTATGGAACGAACTATGAACTCTCCAGTGTTCATTGCAGTGGGGCTTCCTGATGCCAACATTATCATCAGCATCAGGTTAAGACCTTACTCGATTTCTCAGCATTTGGGAGCATATGATAAGGTGTTTAATCAGATTGTAAGTTTTTTTATCATTAATTGTTAAAACGGTGTGTGTACTTTCTGTTCATGTGTCTGTATGTAAACTTTTTATATGAAAGCACATTAGCTGTACTCATCATGGAAAAACAGCTAGGTATAGGAGCTTAAACAGGTTTCCAGATGCCAACCACCTAAATGAAAGAATTATTTTCTTTCTTAAATTTCATTGCAATAGCCAAAGCTTTCTAGGAAGTTTAAAGATATTAGAAGTGTAAATATTTTAGTAACAAAATGGAATAAATTAAATGATTTCATTACTTTAGGTAGCTGGGATCTAGGTTAAAGTATTGAGCTTGCCATGGGTTTTCCTTCCCCCTTGATTCATAGGTGTACCAGGAGGACTCCACAGGAGGTCAGGGATGTATCTGCTCCCCAAGCCATGATCAGTTTGTCAGCCCTTTGATTTTAGTGCAACAAATGTGTGTGGATGTTTTGAACATTTTAAAAAATAATTTTAAGTTCTGCATAGGCAATTTGAAGGTGCTGTCTTTACTTGTCAAATCAGAGGTCACAGTAAGTGTTACTTGGGTAAAAGGGAGATTACAAGGATGGGGGGAAGCCGTGGTGAGTACAAAAGGGCTTTTGATCATGATGGAATACACTGGCCCAATGAAGGTCATTGCGACATGTTGCCTGGGGTGGGGCAGCTGACACTGGTGGAGACCCCTAACCTGGCAAGGAAGCAGGGAGGTTTTCCCCACTCTTGCCAAGCAGCTTGCTAGCCATTTCCCAGAGCCCACAAGGGGGTTGGTTGCCTTGTTCAGATGAAATGGCAACCCATTGTGGTCCCAATTACCTCAAGAACACATTGTAGAGAATTGCAATGGCTTGTTGCAGGAATCAATCCATGTTTGCATGTTATGACAACCAACCATGTCTTAGCACTTGTGATGAGTTTGCTCATCATATGAACCCTGACAATGTGTTTTAATATAAAAACAGATTACATGGAACCATAAGTAGGCACACATGCTTTATAGAGCAAAAACAGGAACTTAAATTGCTATATGTTCAGAAATATTTGTCCCTCTTTTTTGTCAGCCACATATTGCACGAGCTGTCACTTTTGAACCACTTTCAAATGCATCCATGTGGTTCAGTGCAGTAATCTAACTTGGAGGCTACCAGAGCATAGATAACTGAAGCCAAGTTATCTCAGTCCAGAGAGGAGCATAGCTTGGCCACCAGCCAAAGCTGGTAGAAGGCCAGGTACACTGCAGTCACCAGAGTTTCAAGTAACAAAGATGGCTCCACAATAACCCCAAACAAACTATACCTCTGCTCCTTCATAGGGGGTGGAACCCCATCCATCTAGTCAGAAGAACTGCTCACTAACAGCATCTTGGCCTTTGTATGGATTGAGTTTCAGCCTTTATCCAATCTGTTATTGCAGCTAAGCACCAATCTAACACATCCATAACATTAATGGAGATCGAACTGCCATTGGTCAGTTCTCGGTAACTGGGCAGGACAATTTATTTATCACCCCAACTGTATAGAGGAAGCCATGCAGCCAAGAACTCAGTGTGCCACAGTTTCCTCCATTTAACAGTGCCACTGGAAGAATTCTTAACGAAGCCAGGAATATGAGTCAAATAGAAGGAGACAGGAATGCCTGAGTAAGGCAGAATTGCAGGTAGCTATATCAGTATAACAGGCCAACTAGAAGGTCACAAAGCAGTAAGTTTCCAGGTTCACCAGCATTCTTGGGCTGGATGTTAAGCAGAAGAGAGAACAGAGTAGCAACTCTTTCACTAGCACTTTTCCCCCTAAATATTAAACAAGGAAAGAGCTCTGTGGACTCAAAATCTTGTTTTCTACTTTCTGGCATTTTAATAAGCCTTAATATAAGCAAGTAGAATGTCTAATGGGACAGAAGCACTGGGTATCATCAATGAAAATGTAGCACTTCTATAAGCTACTGAAAATTTTGCTGCTCTGTATTTCCAGTGCTGTGATTTGGGAATTAAGTCATGTTACTGTACAAAATGAAGTTAGTTTTCTTTGAAGTTTATTACAGGCATTCTCTTGGAAGTAAAAACAACAACAACCCCATAATCCTTAAGTCTATATTTTTTTTGGAAAGCCCATTTGTATTTCTGCAAAACTGTAATTTAAGCTATTCAACCCGCAAATCTCTACATTCACACTATGGAGAGAGCTGAATCTAAGACGTGTTCTTAGCTAAATTATGTGAGAATTGTTCACAGTGCTATTTTAAGGTTAATTGTAGAAATATATCTACTTCTATGCCCACTTCAGAAGTGTCATTTGAATGCTACTTTAAAGATAGTTAGGAAATTTATTTCCAGATTTCAACTTCCTTCAGAGCCTTTGTGAAGTCAACTACCCTTCTAACACAGAATAGTAACAAAAGGAGCTTCATCTCAGATATTGGCTGCATTGGCAGAGAGATAATGTCACTACTGACAGCTTTGTAAACATAGGAATAAGGGAGATGCACTCTGATCCCTTGTTTTCCACTGGTATACACAGACCAGCATTTTAATTTGGGGAAAATAAAATTCTATGAGAATGCAAAAAAAAAGTGGCTGAAGTTTTAGATTTCATTTCAATAAACACTTTGGCTATTAAACTATTTTTTAAATTATCCCTTTATTTATACAGCAGTGTTTTTAAATATCTATACCATTAGGTACATTTAGGTTTAGTAATTCTCACAATAGCTCTATGATTAGTATTATCACTATTGTGTGGTGTGCAAGAGGAACAATTACATATAGTATTTACATAATAGAAATGTATAAAACAAACATGCAATGAATGTCCATATTTTTATGGCTCAATGACAAATTAGAGTTAGCAAGTTCCCCAGTCATGTATATGTGATAGAAATGGTATCTTGTCCTCTGTGTGCTTTGGAGTCTCTGGACTGATGTCAACTCCTTTGTGTCAGGCTAAAGATCATGTATTTTTAAAATACAGACAGCTCTTGCTTTTGGCTCTCACATCTGCCTCTTCCTCCTGCCTCAGTAGTTGCTCATCTGTAACTTGTTCTAGCAATATCAGAAGCCCATCTTTCTTTATGTCACACATTGGTGCACATTCCCATCCTTGCTAAAAATGGCAAACTGCTTCTGATTTAAAAATAAAGAATGGGAGTTAAAATTATTGCTTTGCTGAGATCCTGGCTTCCATCGCTTGCATTTTTATGCAACGTGATTCAGCTGTTCTGATGGATAGCATCTGCAATACGTAATTTTGAGCGAATTCAAAACTCGGAAAGATGGCTTAGGTTCTGTTCTCCTGCCCACTTTGGCCACTTAACAACTCGTGGGCCCCCGGTGTCCTGCCTGAGAAGCCATTGTGGCAAGGCACCGTAAATGAACGCCCCCAGCTTGCAGTCCACGCTGTTCGGCCGGATGGCAGCAGATTAAATTGCGTTCCTGCAGGATTCCCGGAGCGGCACATCCCCCCTGCCCACACCCGCCGTTCGGAAAGTGGGATCTCGCGGCGGAGCACTCGAGGCCCCTTCGGAAAGGAGGCGGGAGGCACCGAGAAGGGAAAAAAGCGCAAACGCCTCGCTCTGGCAGCGCGAGGGGCTTTGGCGAAAGCTGCAGTGAGTTCCTCTGCGCGGGCGGAGGGGGCGTCCGCGCCCTCGGCGCGCCGCAGCAAGCTATAGCCAGCGAAAGAAAGAGGCTTAGTGGTACCTCCCTCTTCCCTCCTTGGATACTTGGTACATTCCCATTCTAACTCCAGGGGATAAATAGAGGCAAGGGAAGCCGCCGGCTTTGCAGCGAACGCCGACTTCTTTCGCCGTGCCGCCGAGCCGGACCGGTTCTGCCCAGTCAGCGGTGCCGCGATAGTGCGTTATGGATCATCCCGTGCAGACAGAGGTGTGGAAAGCACAGACGCTGGAGGAGCTGATCCAAATCCTGCATCGGTTGTTCGCGGGCGATAAGGTCAATGTGGCAGAAGTGCAAAGCCTAATGGAATCCTACGAGAGCAACCCGGAGGAATGGACCAGATATGCCCAGTTTGACCAGTTCAGGTAAATTCGGTGGAAAACCCCGGAGGATCGGTGTGCTCGAATCGGCGCCTCGACGTGCAAAGCGTACGAGGCTAGTTCAATGGTTTATTGTTGTGGCGTAATCTAGACTCCAGGGAAGTAAGCGCGTCGCGGGTTGTGCTGCTGCCGCGTCCAGACGGAGAACGGCTTGTAGCGCTAACGATCCAAATGCAAGTTTCCTTATCATGTTTGTTTGTGCGTGTTTTTTTTGGGAAATAAAAAAGATGAAGCTCTGGGAGGGCTACAAGCAGAGGAGATGCCCCCCATTAAAAGTTGTGTGAATGGGGTGATTTCTGGATAAATGTCATGTAGGCAGCCCTTTCGCTGTACCTCCAGGGATGCCCGCAAGTCCCGTTCCAGGCCCCTGAACTATGGTTAAGGTAGCTGCTTTTGTGCCTTAGCAGTGGTGTGAGTTTTGTCTTACTTTTGCAAGGGGCACGCTGGGCCTTTGTTTGTTTATTTGTTTTCTATGCTGCCCAATAGCCAAAGCTTTCTGGGGGATGAACAGCAACAATAAATATAATAGAATACAATAGAAATTAAAAGAGGAACCACCACCATCATTATTATATAATATTTATGGTTTGCTTGTTATTGTTATTAATTTTTATCTGTGTGGGGAGAGAGGGGGGGGAGCTCTGAGCCACCCAGAGAGCCTTTGCTTATGGGTGGGGCAGCATACAAATTCAATAAATAAAAAATATAAATAAATATTAATTAGAACTGTATTTAAACCACATTTTTATTTTAACAGCTAATACTAGTCCACTACTAAGCCTGCAGAAAACCAGTGGGCAGTTCCTCTCCACTGCACCCCCATGCCCACATTTGCTTTTTAGAGTTGGCAAATGCCTCTTAACTAGGCACCGAAAAGATAATAAAGTTATTGCCAGGTGGGACTCAGTGGAGAGTTCACGCCATAATTTGGGACTACTACAAGAAAACAACCTCCTGCTTGTTGCCACCAGTCATGGTTCCCCTGGAGGTGGCATTTGAAGTAAGGCCTCAGATGTTGAGTGTAGCATCTGGGTACATTGTAGTTAAAAGAGGCATTCCTTCAGGTATTGTGGTCCAAAGGTGAGGAAAGCTTTATAGATTAAAGCCAGCAGCTTGAATTTGCCTCAAAAGCATATAGGCAACCCGTGCAAATGGGCCAGGATAGGTGTTATATGTTTGGATTGCCTGGCCCCAGTTATTAGTGCGGCTAACACATTTTGCACAAGCTGCAGCTTCCAAACTGTCTTCAAGGGCAGCCCCGTAAAGTGCCCTGCTGTAATCTAGAATTGAGTAAGGCATAGATTACCCAAGCCAGGTGATCTCTGTCCAGATGGGAGTGTAGCTGAACCATCACCTGAAGCAGGTAGAAGGCACTCTGGGCCCCTGAGGCCACCTGAGCCTCAAGTGACAAAGAGATATCAAGGAGCATCCCCATGCTAAAAACCTGCTCCTTCAGGGGAAGTGCCACACCATCCAGAAAAGGCTGAGCACCCTCCACGCAGTCAGAACAACCACTGATCATCAGCATCTCAATGTTGTATCGATCTACCTTCTGTTCATTAGCCCTCATCCAGTCTGTTGCTGCAATCAGGCATCCGTTCACCCACAGCCTCACCTGTTGAAGATGAAAAGGAGAAATAGAGCTGAGTGTTATCAGCATGCTGATTTGCACTGCTTGTGCTGTAATCTCTTTAGTTTGTTTGCAGATCCAGGTCATTAGGTGTTAAAAATCTTTAACATGTCAGTCCCCTCATTTATATAGCAACTGTACAGTTTTAGTTCTTTTAAAGAAACTGTCTAGCCTCTGATGGAAGGATTTGAAATGAAACATTGTTGCTTGCTGGAGAAATCTGTAGACATTCTAAAGTAATATGATAAAGCATGAAATGTCCCTTTCGCAAGTGGGAAGGGAACACAATGTAGTTTTTGCCTGCAGTTCTAGATCTCATATCACATAAAACAGGATCACCACATGCAGTTCCCATCAAATACCTGAGAAGAATTAAGAAAAAGAAATGTGGTTAATAATTCATATGGCTGAATAATGCCCAGTTCAAATGTCCTGTTAGTGGTAGCTGAGGATCCTCACAAAACCAAGAAGTTCCAGTTTCCTTTTTCTTATAGATCTGCTGGATTGCAAGGGAAGGAATCAACATGCACACCCCTTTCAGGACTGGCAGCTGATACTCTTCCAGTCCAGCGGACCTATCATTAAACTGCTCATTCATCATCCTGAATATAACGAAAGATGAACTTGGAGGACCAAGTGGAAATATATGGCATTTCAGGCTTTAACTGCTTGGCAATCTAGTCACCTATAATGGTGAATGGAAAGGAATAATACTGTGTTTATGTAGTGATTTAAAGTATTGAAAGTATTCCATGTATTATGGAGATCTCCAGACATTCTGGATGTCAGCTCACAGCATTCCTGTCTACAGGCCATGGTGGCAGGGACTTCTGGGAACTGAAGCATCTGGAGCTCTATGTTCTACCCACTCCCAGTTTTAGTCCTTCACATAGCATCTTACCATAACATGGCAAAACATTGCACGTAACTGTGATTACAGGATCCCTCGGTTTCCTCAGAGTAGTTGGACAATATTAGGGGATAATTCACATCAAAGAACCATCTGTCCCTGTGGTATATGGGAATGGTCATTTCCTGCAGATTTGAGTCCCCCGATCTGTAATGATGCAGTGAACATCACCAGAGCAAACTGGAGAAGTGATTTTCTCAAGCGGCTGCACACATAACTGCTTGTGAGAGTGACCCAGCTGTCAGTGGCATCATTTTAAGCATAAGGGGTACCGAAATCAGCATGCATGTTGTACTGCCTGATAATTTGTACCTTATCTCACAGTCAGTCTAATATTCCATTGGCTTCCTTCTTTTGTACATGGAATATAAAGTAGCTATTTGGCCATCCCAAATGAAGGCTCCTCTCTTCCCTCCCTGGCTCTGGCATTTTTTCTGTAGCCTCTGAATTACTTTGCACAAGTAGCAAATGCACTGCTAGCATACCAGTAACAAAACTTTTTCCTTGCTCCGAGAGAAGGGACTGCAACAACACAAAGGCACAGGAACAGGCAATTTATTAAGAGGTTGATAACCAAAGCAATATAATGGCATGGCCTCCGAGATGCAGTTGGCCCCTTTCAGCTCTACTGCTCTATCCCACTTCTCCCAACTTGCAGTTGTGCATGTATAAGATTTGGTCGTAGGAGATGGAAATTCAAGTCTGTGCTCAGCAACCAACCCCACTGGGCAGCTTGCAGAAATCATTTACAATTTCCTGTTCTAGGCTGCTCTAGTGGGTGATTTGATCTTATCCCCGCCAGTGCGTCTGAATATTATCAGGGCAGCTAACAATAACAATACTTAATAAAACAGTAATTAAGCACAGCTGATCTAAACATAGAGCAGCTGATAAGATACATTTCAGCTAATGTTCGAAAATAATGCCAGATAAAATAAAGGACTTTGCCTAGATTCAAAATACAGACATTGGATCCAGATAAACATGCCCCTGAGAATATCATTCAATAAATGCTAAAAGTGCTAAAAGTAGAACCCCCACTATCAGGGACAGGGGTTAGTTGTTAGACTTTCCCCCATGACAGTCTTCATGATTTATACCGGGTAGGCAACTGAGTGTCCTCCAGAAGTTTAGGACGACACCCTCATATGCCCCAGCCAGCACAGCCAGTGCTCAGGGTTTGTGGGCGTTGCGGTGCGAAACATCCGCAGGGGACTCTGGTGTTGACAGAGTGTGGGCTGCCGCAATTACATAAAGCAGTCAAATGCTTTCTCCGCTCCCCGACATGCCAGCGCGCATTCCGTGGGGATGCACAGCCGTCCTGCCACATCACGAGAACAGCACATCCTCGGGCGCCTTCCTCCCTTGCCCCGCGCGAAATCTGTCCTCCCACTCCTTGCTGATATCTCTCGGCTTTCCCGAAGTGCCACGCAATAAAGGAGGTTGAGGGGCAGAGAGAGGGCAGGGACCAGACAGCCAATCGCTGCCGCCCTTGAGCAACACCCCCAAAGAATTGGACCAATGAGAGCTGACTTGGAATAAATTGCCTGAGTTGCCGGCTGGAACTTGTTTCTCAGAAGCGGATGGAGGGGTGTGGGAGGGCGGTGTCTAGTTCAAGGGCAGGCAGAAGACGGCTCGGGATGTACCGAGTTCTCCACGTTATTTATAAGGGCTTCAACGACCAAGGATTGAAAAAGAGTGACGACAAAAAATTCCCTTCCCCCACAAGCCCTCAGTTAGGCGGCTCAGAGCAAGAACGATAGGGCCGGGGTGACGTAGGACTAGATGAGCATGCAAACGGGTTACCGTGGAAGCTCCAGTTCTAGGAAACTCCTAGGAAAGGGATTCCTAGGATGAGCATGTGCTCATGGACATCTTGTCCCTCCACTCTGTGTGCCCCTTTCCTGAGCAATTATTTATACCTGGTTCCAGTTAGGAGCTGTAAATCTCGGAGCTGTAAATCTAAAGCCTTTTACTTCATACCCTGCCCTGCACAGAGCCTTCTTGAGAATAGGAGCTCTTTAAAGCCCCCAGTTGATAATGGACTCTTCTCAAATATTCCTGTGTGCATTAAAGGGGGCTGGTTCCATCCACCGGCTAGGAAAGGGAACTGACTTTCCAAGTCCCCATGCTCACTTCCTTATGTGTAAGCTTATAGATCTGTTGCATAATATTAGATAAGATAAACACGTGGCTGTGTAATAAAAGACAGAGTTTATTTTTCTACATCTCTTAGAGTTATGATGTTTTCTAAGAAGTAGTGAATCACTTGCAATATCTTTGGCAAGGCATTGTTGGTACCTCAGTGGTTTTATGGCATTTCTCATTAGGAAAAATCTTTTTGCAATTCTAGATTGCAAACTTGCTTTCATATTTGTGCTTACAGGTCCAAACCTATATGCACACACTGCTAATATTTAAAAGAGACATACTACTGCTTATTGAAAACATTTTATCAGGGTGTATTTACCCATACCAGTTTAACAGGCAGGTGTTAGTTTAAATTTTGCTAGAATAGTTTTTGTTCAGGGTTTTTAAAGCAAAATCTATGTGTAGTAATCCTTTTATCTGCCACCTTTTATCCAAGCAATTCCTATTCTTGGACTCTTGTGCAACACTTGTCCTTGGTACACAAAGGCTAGGTTTTTCTTTTTATTCCCTTATTTTGTTTGACAAAATTCCCTTATAAGGTTGGCTTTTTAATAAGTTTCTAGAAGTTATTCCTCCCCACCACCACAAACACGCACAATCCCTCAGCAGCATTTATGTCATGCAGAAAAATTTTTGTTAAGGTAATCTGAAAACTGTATAGGAATATAGTCACTAATTTCCTTGCCAGGTGAATTCTGCAGTTGCAATTTCATTTTTCTTTCTTAATGGTAAACCATCATGGTATATCCCAAACAACTTTGAAATGTTAAACTTCTGGGTACAGATGTTCATTGGGAAAGACATGGCTACAGCACTCTTGGACACAAACAACAGATTGCGTGGCTCTCTGCAACCCAGGGAGTAGATATAATATATGGGTGTGTTGTATATTGTAAAAGCAAATCTGCAAGTTATGAGACTGAACTCTTGAATTGCCTAGCCATTTTAAATAAGTGCTAAAGAGCACTATACAAAAGGGCAATTCTTATTGATCTTTGGTCAGTTAGTCCCTTTGGATCTTTATAATTGAGAAGGTTCCTGGAAAGGCTCAAAGTATTTATTAAAAAATAAAGCCTGAATCCCTTTTGCTCTTTTTGTCTAGGAGCCCTCCAGCCTCCAAAAACTTCCTGAAGGATTGCAGGAAGGGGCCATATTGAATGAGATGAACTGGCATTGAGGGGAGGCTGAGGGGAGAAGGGCAATTCTCAAAAATCAGGTAGTGGCAGCTTCCACAAGCAGGTGCGCTTCATTCAGTAGCATCCCACCTGGGGGAAGACCTTTCAGGGGTTGCTGGCAGAGGGAAAGAGGAGTGAATGGGAAAGCTGGTTTTCACTAGCCCCGATACACATTATTTTTCCTGGATCCAGCTCCATTAATTCAAAGCACTTCACATACATTATCAATGCATCTGAGTATTATTTTAAGACACTTGTGGAAAATAGGTGTCCATGGTTCAAAAGAATGCAGGTTTGGTGATTACTACTGCTGTACAGCTCACAAAGGAATGGTGGCAAATTTTTTAAGTGTCCAGGATTCAGGGACAGGTTGGACATTTAAAAATGCTTCTTGCCATTGCCCAATATAGAATATCCTGCTGAAGAGAAATGTGCTATTACATGTTTCTGTTTACAGCTTATAGATCTTAAAAAGAGAATCTTGCTGCTTATTGTTTCAGATACACAAGAAATCTTGTGGATAAAGGAAATGGAAAGTTCAATCTGATGATCTTATGCTGGGGAGAAGGTCATGGCAGGTTAGTGGCTTAAGATGGATCTCCTTTTTGAAAGAATATAGGCAATACTGCCTAACAGGTAGCTTCCGTGCCACTTTGAATGTCCCCATGGCAGGGGCCCTCCAGTTGGTTTGACCTTTGGCTCCTCCTGTCACAGGCCCAGCCAGCATGGAGGGAAGGGGGTGACAGGGTGGACAGTGGGCCTCCTGAGGTAAAAAGAGACCCATTCATAGAGACACATCATTTGACTGCAACCCACTGGTACACTTTTCCTACCCACTATCACATCAAAACCTCTCTCTGTATGTTATCATAATACATTTATAGAACTAGCTAACATTTGTAGGGATAATTCTTCTGATATGCTAGAGGGGTAAGCCACCTGGTTCTCCTTAGACATTTTAGAATCAGACTTCAATAAACCTGGTCAAGGTTATAAATCTATGTGTCCATTTTATTTCTGGCCTCTGCAAAATAGATGTCTCAAAACCTGAGGAAAGTAAATCCTCTTTGTCAGAGTAAGCTGCTGTAGACCCATTTGGTGACTTCCTTCTTTGTGCTTTCTTACAATGGTAGCAGGTTTTTCTTTGTTCTGGATGCTGTGTGGACGATAGTCCCAGTGTCTGACTGAAGGAGCATTTGCTGAGTCTGCTGATGAAGTGACAGAGAGTTTCTCTTCACCTCATTTTTATGAAATCTAGTGACTGGAAACTACCAAACTGTTCTAAATATCCTTGACACCCCCAGAGAACTTGGTTCACACAATTGCTGGGGCTTAAATGAGCCACAGTGGTTTATTCAAGCAAGACAGCTGCCCCACTCCATCTCTGATTCCTCACTCAGGTGTGGCTTGTTGTGGTGTTAGAACCTGGGCATAAAGGCTTGTTGGAGGGAGAAACATCAGTCAATCTAACCACATGGTGATTATGCAAACTGGGCCAATATAGCAATATTTCTGAGTTCAGTAGCTTCACTGAAGTTGTGGAGGTGGGGGGTCGAATACTGAAACTGATGTCACCTTGTAGGCAGAAAGCCATACTCAACTGCTTCTAGCAATTGCTCAGACCAGGCAGGTATACAGATCAGTACTTTATCTTGTGATGTGGTGCTTAAAGGCTCTAACAACTGCAAGAGAGAAGGTTTTCATCCTTTTGAGCACCTTGATAAGGAGTGTAATAAAAATGCTTCTTCATTTTATTGAAATAAGCCAGGATCAACCCATGGCTTATCCTGTCTTATTACAACAAATCATGACTTAAACCAGGAGTGGGCAACATTCAACTTGCATGCCCCTGCAAGGGAGTTTTGCTACTCTCACTGGTTTCCTTACCACTGCAGCATGACTCCCACTGCTGCTGTGCACCCTGCAATTCTTTCTAGGGTACATTTCTTCAGAGCAACAAGATGTGTACTCCCCATGGGCCACTGTTGCTTTTGATGGTAGATGGAGCAGTGGAGGAGAGCAGCCTCCAGAGAATTTCTGGGGTCCAGTGCAGCCTCCCAGTCCTCCAAAGTTGCCCATCCCTGTTTTAAATGAATCAAGTTTCCTTCTTGAAGAAGAAATTCTGATTAGCTTAAAGCAGGAAGCAGATGGCTTCTGTCTTGCCTTGGTGATTGTGCCAGAGAAGGAGAATTGGGAGTGGGGAGGTTGCCCAATTCTCATTCCTGAATCACTATACTATGGTTTAACATTTTGTCAAAACCTGGCCATTGGCTGTTGGAGCTTCTGCCAAGTACAGGGTGGTTGGTAAGCAGTAATTGCTTTAAAAATAAAAGTCCACAGCTTGTTTTAATTTGCTGCACAAGGAGGACTATATAGACAAGGATTACTCTCCATCTGAAATGGGAGTGACAACGTGGCAGTTCTTTTATACTCCAAAATATAGCTAGTAACAAACAGAGGAAAAAACCCCTGCCACATCTATTTTTGAGGATTACAAATGGTTTGCACACATTTTCTGATCACTGTTAAAGAACAACAACCATTGGGAAGAGACGTGTATATTGCTTTTTTTGATAGAGGGGTAAATCCCACAGCCAAAAATATAGTCTCAGTTAGGAGACTGTGAACAGAATAACCTTCAGATTAAATCTGAGAGGTGGCTGGGGAGAGTTTTATCGGCAATCAGGATGCCTAAATCAGCAATCCAGTATCAGGAAGTTTAAAGCAATTACTTGGAGCAGCTCTTTCCATGACTAAATAGCATTATTTAGTAGTGGCATCACCTTGTTTTTCCAAACTCTTTTGCCACTTCCTTCACCTTTTCCCTTAAACCAGCAAATGTTTTCAACTGGAATTAAGCATCATCCTGTTTGTGCAAGCCACTATAGAATGGTGCATGAAATAATGACATTTTGATTAGACTAGTCATGTTATGGCATGTTATGCTTGTAGTCCATGTGCTTAGCAGTTCATGTACATCCAGCCTGCTGACTTCATGTACTTTGTGTGTATATACAGCAGTATCCATGATCACACAGATTCACACTGTTTAATGAAGATCCTTCAAGGAAATCTAAAGGAAACACTGTTTGATTGGCCTAACAAAAAGGGGGCTGGGGAGATGCTGAAGAAATCGGAAACGGTTTTGAGAGAAAATCAGTGTGCCTATATTAACGGTAAGCATTTTTGTTTCTGTACCTCACAGATATCAAATTATCTTTACCTAGAGCTTTTAACTTTCCTGACCTCATTGCAATTAAACATGGACTGCTTTGAGGTGTATTGCATTTTTTAAAAGATGGAGAAGTTCCTGTAAGTTGTACAGTAGCTCTGTCTAGCATTCCTGTTTCCCTAATAGCCCACACTGCTTCCTCCTAATGGTTCGGACTATAAAGCAAAGAAGGGCCAGTGTGAGAGGTTGTCATAGCCAAGCACCTGGAAGGGGCCCCGGGGTCAGAATGGCCCATTGTAGCCCCTGCTGTTATCAGACTCCCCCGCTCCGCACCCACCCAGTGTCAGGTGCCCCTGTACCTGCTTGCTGCTGCCTCCCTTCCCCTGGCCTGTTCTTCCCACAGATGTGTTTTACGTAGTGCTGTTTCTTATGGGAGCCAGGGTGCTACCTGGTTCCTTTCCACAATGGGTGGCCACCTCCACTGCTGCCTGCTACTGCTGGCCAAATTGGATTGGTAGGGGATATGGGCATGATGGATGGGTCGTGCCACAGCAGCAGGTAGGCAGCTGGATGAGACCTGAGCTGCAGCAGCAAGGCCAGGACCAAGCAGGGATCAGCAGCTGCCGGGAAGAAACAGCCCCATGCTAAGTGCCATTAAAGCCTGGCTCTGGCCCCAACGATGCCGCTCCAGTGTTGCTGGCTAAAAGCCTCTGCTACGAGCCCCATGGTGCTGCAATAGCATGCTGAGGCTTTCAGAGTGGAAAAACAAAGACAGACCATTTCTGCCACCGCCTACACTTAACAGATAAGCAGAACCCCACCTGCCCCCCCCCGCCCCCGAATAGCATGCTTTATCAATCTTCCCACTTCTCTGTGAAAACTGTCCCTTTTTCATAAGAAGGGAAGAATTCCATGAAAATAGAGGACAGGGTTAGTTTCCAGCGTAATGGGCTTTTTGTGAGTGTGGTGAGGTGTGGGAAGGATAGAAGAAGTGGTGGGGTGGTTGCAGTGGAAGAAGATGACCATTCACCCCATATATGAGTCAGGTAGGTTGGAAGGTAAAAAGTTCATCTGGAAGGACTCGTAGTTCCCTCCGTGCAGCTTTGTGGCAGCCCTTCTAAAATACCAGAACTCTTTCCTGGCATAGCTGCCAACAACACTTGCTGGGATCTGTACCTGTTTCCCAATCAGCAGATGACTTCCCTGTATTTTACTTCCCCAGGTCTAAAATGCAGACTTTAACCCTCATATCTTTAAAAATGCACCCTAGTCTTTTACCAGGCTATGGAGAGGCAGACCTCTGCCGTAACCTGGCGATATAAACAGGCCAAATAAGAAAATGAAGATTAGTTGTGGGCACAGAAACAAGGGAAGAGGACACTCTAAGGTGCAATCGTCAAATGCCTGTACGTCAGCTAATTCTGATCAGTTCTGAGTTTTTTTAATGTGTCCAATGTATAGCACCAGTCCCTAGGTTCTCCATGCTAACCTTCAGACAGGTGCAGCCTACCCTCATTCTGCTGCCCTCCAGATGCTGCGGATTTACACTCTCAGCAGCTACAGCTAGCATAGTCAATGAGCAGGAATCCTTGGAGCTGTAGTCCAAAATATATGGAGGGTATCAGGCTGAAGAAAACTGATGTTTAAGCTTTCTAATAGAAGGGACTATTTTTCCTCTTCCTTAAATTCACAGTCTTGCTTTGCCAGCATAAAAAGTCAAAATTGCACATGCAAAATTGCCCTTAGTTAAGTCGGTTGGTTATTTTGAGCTTTTTGTGGTGAGATCTTGATTGTCAGTTCAGAAAAGTGTCCTCTCTGGATTTCCCTGGGGAAAGAACTAAGAGACTGATTCTTGGCATACAACTCTTGCTGGGCACTAGTATCTCTGCCATATTTTCATGCTGAGACATCTTACTTTGGAAAGGAATAAAAATAAATGTGTGCATAAATGAATTGGAACATCATTGCCCAATAACGGGAATATGAGCCAAACAATCTTGGCCATAGTTATCTATGTTCTGGCAATCTCCCGTTTGGACTATTACGATATGTGGTATGTCAGGCTGCCTTTAAAGAGTCCGGAAATTTCATCTGGTCCAGAGCGGAGCTACGAATTCACTAGGCATTTCACCCACATTGTGTCAGGGCTTTATCAGCTGCCCCAGCTACCACTCTATCTCCAGGCCCAGGGTAAAGTGCTGGTTTTAGCTTTTAAAGCTCTTAGCACCTTGGAATTGGATTTCCTAAAAGATTGTCTTATCCAGTGTATGTGAACCCAATCCTTAATACTCTCATTGGAGAACCTACTTGGAATGCTCCTGAAATGGAGTAAGCAACTGCCAAAGCAAGAGCTTTCTTGGTGGTGGTGCCATCCCGGCTGTGGGGCAGCTTCCCAGAAAGGCTGCACCATCTTTTTGGTGCCAGTGAAGGCCTTTCTAGTCACCCAAGCTTGTAAAAATAACTTGGTCTTTTGTTTACAATCTGGGCTTCTTAATTTGCATTTGGTGTCTTTATTGTTATCAACAGTATTAATTGTTTTGCTTCCTACATTTATGGAAAGAGCCATTCTTATGCTACTTTGTACTGATATTATATATTATTATATTTCAGTATACTAGTTTTTTCCTTTAAAATTCTGTAAGCCATGTTGGGTATGCATACAAGTATAGTTAAAGAAAACAACCCTACTTCTTTTGCATTAAGGAAAACTGTCACAGAGAAAGAATCAAGCTGGGGACAGAGGCTGGTTGGAATGACTGGAAAGGAGAGAGATAAATGTGAGATAGTCCATCTGGAGTGTTAAAGGAAAGCATTATGATAACTCCTGAATCTAGGGTAGAAGTATGCCAGAAGTAGCTCGTCCATGCAATTTTTGTTCATAATCTGTACTCTCGTATGTTGTGGCGCACAGATTCCATTGGCTTGCATCGTGTGGAGAACCCAAGTCATACAGAAACAGCTGTTAGTCTCCATCTGTACAGTCCACCTTTTGAACTCTGCCATACCTTTGACCAAAGAACTGGACACAAGCAAAAGGTTAAAATGACTTTCTATAGTCAGTTTGGAGAAAGGACTCCATATGTAAGTATACAGATCTTTATCACACCCTTAACCTCTAAGTATGCAACCTTTCTATGGCAAGAATTTGACTCTTGGCCTACACACATACACCTCGCAATAACAAGTGACCCACATGTGCGAGGTCCCCTGTGCCTTTTGGGTATCTCCCAAGCAGAGATCATGGCAGGGGACAGGGGGCAGTGGACTGGCACACTGTTTGAAAGGAAAAGGGGAACAGCCAGAAAAGAAGAAGAAAAGCCAAATTTGAGGCCAATAAATCACAAAGCTGGGCAAACAAGGAAGAGTTCTAAGGCTGAGTGTTCCAGGATAATAGGAATAGCATATCATTATGTTTGCTTAATGGATCAAAGAGACTAAAGGGACAAACCTTTGTCCCTTACCTTGTCTTGGCGGGATACGATTATTTGGAGCCTCAGCTGCTAAGTCTTGTGGGCATAACAGAATGAGCAGAGGTATTCAGAAAACCTTTGAATACTGCTGCAGGCTGGAAACCTTACTGATACTGTAGTTCTCATTAGGGAGGAAAATTGAAATATATGAAGTTTTCTGTCTTCAGTTTTGAAAGGTCTGCTCTGCCCCTTTTTTAATGAACATGTAGCTCAGCTTTCCCCAACCTGGGAGTGACCAGCATGTTGGCTGGAAATGGTGGGAATTGCAGACAACTCATCTGAAGGGCACCAGACTTGTCATGCATTAAACAGCACATTAAAATCAGAATAAAAATTTTCTGGCACTTTTAAAAGCTTTTTAATGAAGACACTCCCAAGAATAAGATGTTCACAAAATGTCAGTGCTAGGGGACCCTTGGTGGTCATTTGGTCCAACCCCTGCTAAGTCCAGGATCTGCAATGCGGAATACAACTAGAGCACCCCTGAGATATTTATCTAGCCTGTGCTTAAATGCCCCCAGTGAAGGAGAGCCCCACTGCTTCCCAAGCCAGTCTGTTCTACTGCCTCTGCTCTTGCTCTTGGGAAGTTTCTCCCAGTTTTTAGCTAAATCCTTGCTGTTCACACATTTTGGCTCTATTCCTGACCTCCGAAAGAACAGAGAACCATCTCCCCAGCCTTTTGACATGAGTGGGGTGCCTTGGGATTGAGAGTTTAATGTCCTCAGCCCTTTTAGACTCTCTGGATCTGTATTCTTTTACGCAAATCTGTTGAGATTCCTTACAGTTCTGCTTGCTTTAAGTAATGTCATTGACATAGCCTTATTTTACACCTTTCACATAAACCACTTGGAAGCTTTATAACCAAAGACTGGGATATTTAAGTGGTATCAAATATTTGCTTCCAGATGCTTCCATGAATGAAAAAGGCAGCACATGGTCAATCACTGGGAAATGGTTATATGGGAGCTATGAGGACAGTATTTGCTTATTCTTTTCTTGTGCGTGTGATACTGGCTTTTGTACTGTAGAAACATCAGTAGATTTTGAAATAATTGAAGGATCTCAACAGTAAGAGACTCTCCCTCTTCCCTCTAGGCAGCAACAGTTTCACAAGAGAACAACTGAGAAGCAGAAGGCTCACTAAGTTTTTTGTTTCTTCTTTTTTGGGCTGAAGGAATGGGATTCTCTGGTTGATGTCAGTACTAAGCTGTGCTGGAATAATCTTTACTACAGTAGGACAATTTTTGGTCATGTAGTTATGAGTGAACTTTATGTCTGTCTGTCCCTTCCTTCCTTCCTTCCTTCAATGATAAAGGGAATAATGCCACAACTGCTTCATCAAATTTAGATGACTTTTATTGGTCCACTGTGAAATCAGTCTTTTTGTTCGATGTCTGTCTCTTATTAATTCCATTTTGGAAACCATATGCACAAGGATTTAGCACTTGGGATTTCAAGTAGGACTTGAGTCTTAGAATGCCAGTTTTAACTAACTTGTTAACCTCTGGTCAGCATTAACTCACAGTAACACAGAGTGTACTGTATACAGTTAATATAGCCTCATTTTATCCAGGGTTATCTGCTGAAACTTTTAAACTTTTTGTACATTTTAAAATCTCATATGTCTCTTTGTTTTTTAAAAATAGGAGCAATATTAAATGTCTTGTACATTGTTTCTGTTACGGTGAAAAAGTTCTGTAAAAGTTGTTTATGATGTTGAATGGAATTGGCTTCTACCTTTTCCGGTGGGTTGTATTTTTAGGACCTGCCCAACAAGCTAAATAAAACTAAATTTTAATTTTGGTGTCAACTTTTTTTAAAATTCTGTTTGTTTCCCAGCATCAGTATAATGAATAGATATTAAGAATAGGTGTCTTGTTAATGCTTCTACTAGCTCCTGGGGAATACATGGGGCAGAGAAACAAGAACAGTGAATGTTGACTTTAGAGAAAACCAATAGACTGTATTAATACATCTCTATCCACATTCAAGTGAGTATAAATCAATAAATGAAGATCTGGCATAGATTCCTCCTCCTCCTCCTTTTTGGAAGAAAAGTATCATTTACACCTTGTTTGTTAATTGCATGTTTATTTTACTATGTGTGCTTAGGATTGCATCCATAACTATTTAAATCCTATATTCAGTCACATCAACAGTTAATAAAGCATTGAATACATTGAGGAAAAATGACAAAAGTACAGTGGTACCTTGGCTCACAAATGCCTCAGTTCACGACCAAATCAAGTCACAAACAAAAATTTCATTAAAAAATTGACTCAGGTCGCAAATTGGGTAGCAACCGCAATCATGGCCATTTCCTCACCCCACTGAGTGGGGAGATAGCCACGATCGCGGGCGCACTTGTGCAGGGAAGACAGGTGCAATTGTGGTTGTGTTTGGGGAGGGAGTAAGGAGATGGCAGCAATCGTGCTGGCGGGGGAGATGGCCAAGATCACACCCGTCTTTCCTGCACAAGCACACCCGCAATGGCGCCTGTCTCCTTCCAGTGCTCCCACAATTGTGCCCTCTTCCCTTTGATTTAAAAAAATATTTATGGAACAGATTAACCTTATTTACATTGAACCCTATGGGGAAATTTGACTTGGCTCACAACCAATTTGGGTCGCAACCAGAGTCATGAAGCAGATTTTGTTCGTGAGTCAAGGTACCACTGTACTTAATATAAAGATTTTTTAAACATATAGTTAACATCTATTTGGTTTTGGAACTGCTGTTAAGCCCTAGGTTAGACAGAACGGAAGTCAATGTATTGGCTGTATCTATTTATTTGATCTATTTATTTGATGCTTACTTTAGAGTAAATATGCATTGGGTTTTACTGACATTTCCTAAAGGTATGCCTCCTCTATTTCCCTTCATTATTGCCATCTTCCCCTCTGCTCCACTCTCCCTGAAGTTCAAAGCACAGTCCCACCAGATCTATTGGAAGCAGTCCTCTTGTACCTTCTCATTATCAAAACTGCCTTCTGCAAGTAATTTTGCTGATAAAATTAAAACCAGGTTACACCAGCTTGGTGAACTGCATGCCTCTTGATATCTATTAGCGTTCTTGCTTCAGGAGATACAACAGATGCTGCTTTCAAGCAGCAGTCAGACAATTGGCTTGAAACACTGTCTTTCCAGTAAGGTATTTGGGATGCATGAAACCAAGCCTTGTCTTAAGCAGGAATTCATTATTTGTGCTGGCTTGCTGAGTAGGCTGAAAGGCTATTTATGTTGGGTGGTGATGAACAATAACCCCATCACCACCCTGAAGTGGTAGGTGACAGATCTTCAGTGGTGACGAAGGAAGATGAGAGCCAGTGTGATGTAGTGGTTAAGAGCATGGGACTGGGACTCAGACGATCTGGGTTCTAGTCCCTGCTCAGCCATGGAGCCAGCTGGGTGACTTTGGGCCAGTCACAGACTCTCAGCCCAACCTGCCTCACATGGTTGTTGTTGTGGGGATAAGATGGAGGAGGAGAATGATGGAAGCTGCCTTGAGCCCTTTGGGGAAAAAGGCAGGATATAAATTGAATGAATGAATGAATGAGTTCCTAGCTGAGTATTTCATGAACAGTGGTGCTACAATGACCCACCTCATGCTACAGCTATGCAGTTTAATAGTCCCTTCCTATCTGTGATGACAAATGGGTTCTGTTACATATTGATAGCTACAAGCAGAATTGTGTATTAAAAATACTGGCATCTTCACAGCTTTATGGAGTCAAAATACTGAGGTAGGAGAAGAGAGACACTATATTTCATTGTATATTAATAACATACAAGCCCTGATGGATCAGACAAGATGTCCAAGAAGTCCCAGGTCCTGATTCCTAGTGGTTATGCAGTTGTATCATAGAGGGCAATAGGTGCTTTCCAACTGCAGGTCTAGCTGCTGATTTTAGCTTAGTGTAGTTTGCTATTTAGATTATATTTTCCCTGTCATTAACCTAACAGATTAATAACCCGTTACTTTAATGAATCAATGCTAACAGAAACCTTAGACCTTGATAGTATCTTTGCAACTTAGACCTTTGTAGTAACATAGCAGAGCACTACGTGACATGTTGCATTTCTTGCAGTGCGTGGACTTCAGTGTCATTGAACCTTACCTATTCGTGGAATCTTTGTTCTTCATTCTGTGTATCTACTTTTCACGTATTTCAGAAGGCAATTTATCTTGGGCATAATGGTATTTGCACTGAAACAGTAAAATCTTTGGCCAATTGTGAAATATTGAAGAGTTGGATCAGACTGTGCTTGTCTGTTAGCGAAATGTTGGCTACTTACTTCTCCCTGCCTCTGCCTGCTGCACCTCTTCTCAGATCCTCTGTGGAGGGAGGTGGTCCCTCTGAAGAGGAACTCAAGTTGGAGGCTGTAGGGAAGAAAGGAAAGTCTTGTGTCATGAGTGGAAATCTGCTTGTATAATGTAGGAGGTAGCTCTAAGTGCCAACTCTAGAAAGTTGCCTATACTTTTATTTCTGAAACCTTTGCAAATTGTGACAGCAGTGCTGATTTTTCAAAAGGATAAATCAGTTCTCCCATTTTTTTTAAATGGAGTACAATCCTGCAATGAATTTGCACATACAATATTTGACATCTTTTATGTTCAGGTTAGAAGCATGGCGTGCCTTTCTCACTCACAGAGATGTAAATGCAGAATAGCAACCAGGCCATTTTTTAAAAGGTTCAATATATTAGGCTACAATAAACTTTTGTGGCTGATGGTTGGTCTCCCAGGAAGGGGTTGAAACATTCCCAAAAGATGCAACCAGACCAGGAGTGTTGAACTTTCATGGGATGTATGTGCGAAGGACTTGAGCTAGCAGACTCTATTACCTTTTCTCTATACCTGTTTTTAATCTCTTTGTGTTACTATTACACCCATTTTATTCTGTACAAGTGAATAAGTTCTCAAATTCTCCAGTTGTTACCCTCTCTTAAAAGGGCAGTAATTTTGGTACATGTGTGAAGCAACAAAGAGCACTTTTTATAACTTCATTGAAAGACATGAGAATACATAAGGCAAAACTATATCTGCTATATCTGCCATATCCTACTTTTTACTAGTCCGAGATGTCACTCCAATAAAAAAAAACTGTGATACATCACTCGACTCTCTCTCTCTCTCTCTCTCTCTCTCTCTCTCTCACACACACACACACACACACACACACACACACAACATGATCTTTTCCCACACATATGTGGAATATAAGATCATGGATATAAATCGAAAAATAAGTATGTGAGCTAACAGAGCATCCTCTGGAGCAACATCCTTCCTAACTTCTTGGTCTTTCCCCCTTGTCTAAAAAAGGGACGTTTCCAAATATGTCAAATGCAGTCACACTCACATGATTACAGTACAAAGCAGGTTGTGTACACTGTTTACAAGAAACAGAAACATGATTGGCTTCAAGGAACGTCCAATCTCTATGAAAAGAGAACCTCTACAGAGGAAACATGGTCTAAATGCCCTGGAAGGGAGACTTTTGCCAGTAGTGACTGATTATTCCTGAACAAATCCTAGAAATGCTGTGATACCTAGAACTGCTGCGAACATACTGAAGGTCTAGGTATGAGAGGTTCAACTTGCTGATTGAGCTTCCCAGCTGTCAGACATAGTACATGTATTCATCCAGGCTGAGCTGTATCCCATTTTCTTTTCATAAAAGTGACATTCCCAGGACTAGGTAAAAATTATCATCACCTTGAAGGCTCACTGCTGCTATTGCAGCAGTCAATTTCTGTATGGAAGAAAGGCATTGGCCTGCTTATATCTAACCCTAACTTTCCAACAGGGCCTGCTGCTGCTGGAGATCAGGCAAGCTGTGATTTCAGTAGGCTCAGAGCTGTTTGACCGGTGCTTGTTTGCTTTTCTCAAACTGGTTTCCATTTCCTAAATGTGTGCAGGTAGAGATGAATGCATGCCCTTAGTCAGCAGATAACAAATTGCATAAGGAGATATGCTTAAGAGCAATCACTATTCACCTCTACTTATCTCTTTCCTCTTTGGTGTTGGCTCAGAGAAATTAGACTGTGTTGCCTAGAGCCTAGTAATGTGTGTTTTTTCTGCCCTTAAACTAAAAGCCTCATCTGCAACAGCAAAGCTACATGGTGTACACTCTGTTCATTTGCTCATTCTTTTAAGTTGTTTTTGTGCCTCTTCCAAGCCTGGGAGAAAGTTGTTTGTTCTGCTTGGGTGTAACTTTTCCAAGGTTAAAATGTGCAATCTGCTTGTGATTACTCTCTGGCATTTTACACACACACACACACACACACACACACAGGGGGGGCACTTCACTGTGTTTGATGTTCTAAATCATTTTAAAATATGTTTCTCTGTTTAAAGGAAAATTGAAAACAATGAACCACAGTGCCTTTTTTTCAGTGGTGGCAGCAGCTGCTTCTTGTAAAGCAATCCCTTAAAGTGTAGTATTTTATGTCATATTATGATGCAGTCCAATACTCACTCACCTAGGAATTCATTTCAATGGGTCTACTCGAAACTGGGCTACCATAGAGCCTACTGAACATAATGGGGCTTACCTGTGATTGGACATGTCTAGGATTACAAGCCTTAAGGACAAATGCTCCAATCTGTCGGACTGAACCTTGTTTGGAAATATAGTATGTGCTTTTGACAAGGTAAACCAATAATGATTAAATTTTATAGTCAGCAGAAGATTTAAATCCATCCTGTATGGATTTCTATTGTACTAGTCTTTTAATGTTGTGAGCTGCCTTGAGTCACAGTACTGGAAATAGGTGGAATACTAACAATACAGA